GATATCCACCGCTGCTAACGGTGGCGTTTAAAATAATTATTACGGCACTTTTTTTTACCGCGCGCGCTTGCGGCAATTGCTTATTATTCCCTTGAAAAATGGCCTGCAAAATTCAATGAGATTTAACTTTCGATAATTGATGAGTGCGATTAGAATATTACTTAATATTTGCGTTGTGTAAACATGAAAGTGTTATTCGCGTTATTTCTTGCGCCACATCGAGCTAAATCATTTAAATGACAATTATACACGTCGTAAATTACGAACGAGCGGTATAGTGTAATATCTTAGTCAAGTCCCGACTATAATGAAACTACCGTTTCTTTCGGCGGGAATGCGCATTAGGGGTCTTGTCCTACAGCGTTCTCGCAATATTAGCCGCGGCAGGATGTGTGTATTTCGCACATTAACGTGTTTGCAGAGGACTGATTCTGGATCCAGGCGCGACACATTGCGTGCAATATCCACTGTTTGTTTCACGCTGGCTTGATTCGGCCCGCCACGCTTCCATGTTTTCTCTGTAAATCCATTATTACACCGGCGGCTTTCGAAATGTCGCGTAAACATCGCTGTCATTCATTTAAAATCATTCGCTCGTCCTGCGCGCTGTTATCCCGATACAAACTAAATCTCTGCTAATGTTAATTAAACGTCTGTTGTTTTATCGTTGGCAAACAGATGGGTCAAATATATATCGCAGTATCTATACTAAAATATTAAAAAGACCGGAACAATTGTTACGTAATGTAATATTATAAAAAACAATCAACGGAAGATAAAGCCTGTTACGTTGATAAGTTGTTATATTCGCGCTGATGAATCTGTAACTTCATAATGTCTTTCGCGGCATAATTACACGCATAGGAATAAGAATTAAATCAGTGGCAAGGTTGAAGACAGTGGCTGGTCGTCGTTGGTTCGTTCGACGGATAGCGGTAATTCCGTCACGTCGTAAAGGTTTTTATCGTCCTTGCCCTGTACGCTCATCCACTAGGATCTTTCGGTTCTAGCTAGACGCAAAGGCATTCTGTGTTTCCTCGTGTATCCTCACGCTTCGCTTTACCGACCCCGCGTCTTACACGTGCCGCTTGATTGTTCAGGTTTTATTATCACTCGGTACTCCCCGAGTCCTCGTTCATCCTAGCTATGTACATCACCCGTCGCGGGAACGACTTGCAATCGTCGAACACGGTGCCAGAAGATAATTGACCAGCAGTTTATTCTGTTAGTATCCGAGCGTTGTATTGTCGCATCCAAATAGAGAAAATTCGGAAGATTCGATTGTACGAGCGTACGTTAATGGACTTTATACATTAGCATCGACTATTTTGTAGTGTGATTACTAAACATCTTGTTATATATATATATATATATATATATATATATATATATAGATATAGATATATATATTATACTGCATATACCGTTCACTTATAACCGATTGTATCCAGAAGTCTATAATCACTTTTTATTATGTTTAAAATAATATGGATTAATATATATAGAATATATAAATACACACGTGAATATTCCTCTGCACGTTTCTTTTACTTTGGTCAGAAAACACGTGCGAAGAAGTACAGAATTGTAAGGTGCGTATTTATGATTATAGCGCCGCATGTTTGCACGGCGGCATACGCACCCCATTTTCGCTCCATGGCAAATGGAATTAGCGGGCGGTTTAGTTCGGCGGAGTCGCGAAATAGAGGTTGCATTTTTACGGGCGTATTAATACAGCCGGAAACGTACTATGATCGGGCTTGTAATGCAACCCTAGGGGCCCGTGTGATATGATACATTTGCTTCGCATACAGGACAGCGAGCGAGCGAGCGAGCGAGCCCGTCGGAAGAGGAGAGAGCGCGAGCGGGTGGCAAAGAGGGGTAAAGCGAGAGGGATCGAGAGGAACGAAGCGGGTGGTGTGCTTCGCGTATAAGCGTGCTTGCATTTCATAACAAGGTACAAACAATACGCGGAAACGCGAGCAACAGCGTCACGGGGGGCATTCGCCGATAGTACTTGTCTGTACCTATCGAGGCGGTATTCAACCAATTATGTCTGTTTATTGTCAAACGCCCAGTTTGTTTACGCAGCTACGGTGCCGGGGCCTGTTACGTTAACAATATTGCTTGTTCATTTCGAAAGATTTAGTTACGCTACCGATATTTCAGCGATCAAACATATTAAATAAGATTAATATAAAAATGATTTTTTTGTGTCATCTTAATCACGTATTATAATAAAAGAAATAAAATATAAAAACTAAAATATTACTTTAATGTAAAGATACAACAAGTTATATTAATTGAAATTCTTAGGTTGCTCGGGGCACTTTCTCGAGTGCCTATCATGCGATTTTTTATTGATCTGACACGAATCATGGCATAGGCGATATAACGCGGTGTCGATGTTTCCAAACAAACATTCGGGACGTACAACCGGATTAATTGCAGCAATTGCTCATTGAACATTTCTTCCGCCAGGTGCCATTTTGAACGTCCAATGTCGCGCTCGAGAGAGGCACAATAGTCGTCCAACCGGTCCGGTTGCCCAGGACAATAGTACTTGATACGAAGGCAATGAGATGTCACCGACTATGAATTAGCGTCGTGGTCGAACTCGAGCAGGGGTTCGAGGGTACCGAAAGGGGTTTCGGAAAGGGGTGATACGGCGGAGAAGCGGAATTCTTTTTGCGCGATCGGGTGTAAATGCGTTTTCCGAGACACATGGTATATAGCTCGTGCCTGCTTGATGGTGCAGTCAAACTTAAGATTTATGTGCTGTCAAACTGGTATTATTAATGTTCGATGACAGAAACAACAAAGGGAATCTCACTTTTCTCAGGTTTAAACAGCCTAAAATAACCTGAAATATTTGTGAAGGTATTTTGTGGTAGAGAAAAGAAACTCGGGATGTTTTTGTCATCTTGTGAACATAAAAACTACAAAGCGAACATCACAAGTCAAATAATAAATTGTCATCACACTCATAAATTGACTTAAACTTATTTAGAAATAGAAATCTTTATATATATATATATATATATACAATCGAATCTAGGTTTTTTCTGTACATTTAACAATTAAGTATAATTAATTATTTTTATTGATACCGTAGAACAAATACTAATTTATTTTTCAACAACAATTATTATTTACATAAAATAGAGCAATATCAACATATTGCACATAATACAAAGAAACTTACTGCTTAAATGTACAGAAAAAAAAACTAGATTCGATTTCTTAGCCAACTATCTCTGACTTCTAATAGAAACATAAAAAATATCTCACGTTAATGTCTTTTGAAGAAAGATGAATCTCGGAAAATCTGCGCACTCCCGTTGACAGGCGTTTACTAGAATATCCGGAAGGTAGGTAGGTATCCGTAAACGAACACATGGCTGATGGTTACGGTGAGTGAATACGGCACCCTCTGTTTGGATTATGGACTCGTAGTCTGGTGTCTATAAACAGAGAGGTACGGAATAGAAGAGGAATGGTACAGAGAGACAAGGCTTTGCGGCCGCTATGACAGATTGAGAGAGAAAGAGAGAGGCGTCCTTTTGTGACCAACGAGGCGTTTCGATGCCTATATACCCCATACCGAGCACAAAGGCTCTTTCCCTCGTTCTCTCGTTTGAATGTTGTCGTTCCTCTTACCATGTAGTATCTCGCTGCGAGTTGGACGTCTTCATCATTTATGGAAAGTTTTCTGTCAGTGGCAGCGAGACACCTGTTACAGTTAAAAGCAAGAGTTAGAATGTCCATTGGATTGATTCGTAACATTCTTTTTACCAGAATCTCTGACACATTATTTTTGTCTTCTCCACAATAATCGCATATTTTGATTAACAAATTTTCGATATAAATGGATATGATTATCAACAAATTTATCGTTTTAATTAATGTCTAAATTTAAATGTGCAGGATATGAAAATATTTCAAATTAACTTTCAAATATATAAAATATGCAATTTACTAACATTATTAATAAAGTTTATAGACAAATGTGGGTATACTGCTTTTATGCTGCAAATTGTAAACGCAACTAGTATACAGCAACATATTCCATAAAATATAATAAAAGTGATCATGTAAAGATATTCATATCGTATATCGCGTATACATAAAAGTAAAAGAACCATATAAGATATTCGCGGTACTGTTACGAACGAGGGTCGTTCAGATACGGGAATGACAATGCCTGGAGGCCAAAATGCACGTTAGAGACGCCTAACTGCCGTCTCTTATTGAAACATCATATCTGCTTACCTGTATGGAAACGGCCACTAACATTTATCCATAAAGAGAATGGTTCTGGTATGGCAACCATGTTCTATCCCCCGCTTCACCACAATAGATGATTTTATTCTTTATTTCATAGTCAATAGACCGTCTA